ACAAGAACCACATCAAACCACCTTAGCCCGGTACAGCCACATCAACACTTTCCACACACTTCCGTATCAATAAGCAATGACATCTAGAATGTAAGATAAGATAAACTGTAGTAAAATATACCCCTTCAAGGAAGGTTAGTTGATGTTGGCGAGGGACTCCTGATCTAAGGAATTGGACCTGAATTCCCTTCCTTGGATTGACCCTGAATGTTTCCCATTCCCTATAGGTACTGTATGACCCCAACGAGTTTAGTACACCCCAAAAAATGTAATAATAACAATAATGTACATTACCTAGTACAATATTTTCAAGAAGTTATTTAGAAAATTTTGAGGTTTATTGAATGTAACCCGATTTTCCCAATGCTCTTTATATCACACACAGCTAATTTCCATAAGACTTTGATTTTCAAGAAAGTATCCTAGTACTGCAAAGATTTCCTGCACATAAATTACGCCTGGAAAATTCTGGAGGGCTTGGTCCCAAATATCTATACCTTATGCAAAAAGCACACAGTATAAAATTCCCCCAACTAAAGCAAAGGTGCACTGGGTACACTAATAATAATAATAATAATAATAATAATAATAATAATAATAATAATAATAATAATAATAATAAATAATTAATAATAATAAATAATAATAATAATAATACTTACAATAATAATAATAATAACAATCAAAAATTAAAATTTTATTATTACAGTGGTACCTCGGTATATGTCCTTAATCCATTTGAGGACCTCGGACTTATACCAAACCAGACATACACCAAATGAATTTTCCCACAACAAATATAGGGAAAACAATTAATCCAATCCCATGAAAAAAATCCTATTGTTATTGGCATATTATACATTGATGGAGTGATATAAAATAATTTAACCCTTTGACTGTTTCGGCCGTATACGTCTTATGAGCCAGTGTTTCGGACATATATATACTCAAAAATTCTAGTGGCTTCAAATCAAGCGGGAGAAAGCTGGTAGGCCCATATGTGAAAGAATGGATCTGCGTGGTCAGTGTGCACAGTATAAAAAAAAAATCCTGCAGCACATAGTGCATGAGAAAAAAAAACTCAGACCGTGTTTTTGGATTAAACTGCCAACTTTGAGGTGCATTTTCATATAGTATTTTTGGTTGTATTCTCGTTTTCTTGGTCTCATTTGATAGAATGGAAAACATTTTACAGAAATAGAGTTGATTTTGATTAATTTCACCACGAAAACGACCTTGAAATTGAGCTCAAATTAGTGGAAATGTCAATTTTTGCCAATATTCAAGAGTAAACAAATCACGCCACACGTTCAATACACGTCAACTGGCGAGTACAATATTCTCTCACAAGTGCACTGATATTATTCATACCATTTTTACAATAATGCAGTAGTCTGCATAACAGTAAATCTTCTATTTTGTGTGAATAAAAAATCAAAACAGAAAGCAATAGTAATATAAGAGGGGCCTGGAGAAGTGACTAATGAACAGAGAAAATGTTATTTTAGTGCCAGGAATGTTTGCACTGTTTATTCTGGATCCTATTTTCAAATTGGCATCATTTCTAATTAGGATGATATGGCCAAGTTACCAATTTCTCACCACTTTATTGGATAGTTGAAATCAGTAAATGAGCGGTTTCTTGTACTCAATTGATAGAACAAATGGAGTTCTAAAGAAATAGCCATGAGTTTGATCAACTGGAACAATGGAACTAGCAGAAAATGGGGCTCCAGGTCGGCGAAATCACTGATGCGTATATATCGCTGAGACTGCTAACTTTGCAAGAGCATAATTCCATAAGTTTTCTATCAAATTTCGTACTTTTGATGTCATTAGCATCGGGAAAAGATTCTCTATCATTTCATAAAAATCTTTTTTTTTTCAAATATTTTGCGACAGAATGACAGTTTCAGAAATAGGCTTGCGACAGTCAAAGGGTTAAATATGTAATTTAAACATTGCTTAATACTAAAATACGTAAGTACATAAATACAAAAGAATTAGATGAAATAAATGCAAGTTTAACCTCGCTTTACTTTGCTGAAAAAGTCAAGTGCCTACTAGGATAGTGCTGAGAAGGGAGGATGAGATGTTATTGTTTGGAAGGAGAGTCCCCTTCTCTTTTCTGTCTCTTTTTACCTATTTGAACCTGGATGAAGCTCACCAGGATTGACTTTTACTAAAAATCTGTCCCAAGAACTTTGCTTCTGCCTTCTCCTCAAGATGTTTCAGAAATGTGACATTGTCTGATCATTCCAGATAATGATATTACGGCTTGTTTGGGCTTTGTTGGGGTGGTACTTCTCTGTAAGGTTTTTGACGTCCATCCATTTAGCAAAGATTTCCTTGATTAATGAAGTAGGGGCTTCCTATATCTCCTCTTCCAAGCCTGAAAAGGGTGCATCAATTTTAGTATTGTGCTCCTCCTCCTCAAGTTCCTGCAGCTCCTCAGTGGACACCTCTTCCCTGTGCCCCTCCACTAACTTCTCTACATCACCATCACTCACAACCAGACCCATGGACCTACCCAGAGACAATATCCTCCACTATAGACACAGCCTCAAAGCCCTCAAAGTCCCTCTCAGCCACTGCTTCTGGCCACAAATCCCTCTAAGCAGAGTTCATTGTTTTATAAAACTTCCTGCCAGGCTTTGTCAATGAGTTATGCAATGGGTGATAGTAAAGTGATCTTTCCAAAACTCTCTCAGGGTTAATTGTGTCAGAGGTCACTTCAAAGCACTCTGGAATTGTGCTTCAGTGTAGTTTCTTGAAATTACTGAAGACCTGCTAATCCATGGGTTGACAGAGGAGTCGTGTTAGAGGGGAGAAACTTTACAGTGAAGTCAAACTCCAGCAGCACATAGTCCTGCAACTTGGAGGGTGAGCTGGAGCATTGTCCATTATGAGGAGGGGCCTTCAGAGGCCCTCCTCATAATGGACTTTTTACACTTGGCCCAAACACAATATTAAACCATTTGCTGAAATATTCTGGTTACCCAAGCCTTCATTGGCTTGTGTCCTGGTAATGTCTTTTCCTCTTGTGTAATATAGGTCCTGTTAGGCATTTTCTTCCAAAACAGGCCTGTTTCATCACAATTAAAAACTTGTTGAGGGAACAAAACCCTCAGCCTCCACAAATTCCCCAAACTCTAACAAAATTATTGGTGGCATCTTTATCATTCTTACCCATACAAGTTCTAGCATGCGAGTCGTATTCCAAATAAAGGTCATATACCAAGCAAAAATTTCTGTGTCCAAACAGGACGTATACCAAGTTGGACTTTTTCCAAAGTGGACGTATACAAAGGTACCACTGTATTATATTCATCGGGGAGGGAGAAAACTAAATTCAGTGGAGTCATACAGCACCTGGGAGAATGAAAGTCATACAGACTCAATCCCAGGAATTAAAGCAAAGGTCCAATTCCTTAGATCAAGAGTCTCTCACCAGCATTAAAGTACCTCCCTTTAAAGTACCTCCCTTGAGGGGAATAACTCATTTGTGTAAAGGGGCAAAAGTTTTGATGTATTCAACAGTTTCCCTTCATACATAAGGAAAATAATTACCAACAGACCACTAGCTGGCTTTAACAGGGAACTGATATGTTCCTTAAGTTTGCCCTGATTAGCCAGGCTGTGTTGCACATGTTGGACTGCTTGCAGCCAGCACCAACAGCCTTATTTTAGTTACTTAACTGTTTTAAATTTTAAGGTAATATATCATGACTGATTTCTACTGCAAATTATAGCTAGGTTTTAAATAATAAGATATTACATGGACCCCAATGGAAATAAAACTGTGTGTTATCATTGAAAATTTACACACATTACTCTATGATAACTGAACTTGTGTGTACCTGTGCCTGAATAAACTTAGTTAAATGATCAGGCCATCAACTTGGAGGCCCAGTCTGGGACCAGGACACAGGAGCAATGACCCTCCCCTAAGCTGCCTACAGGTGTTCCATAGTTGTAAATGATACTGCTAAACTGTGGAAAATGACAAGTGTACAGTTCAAGATATTAAAGGAAACATTTTGCCACTGACAAAGCTACTCATTGCAAAACATTTTTTAATAATGTCCTAAACTGTATAAAAGTGGCCTTTTCCACAGGTAATCTAAGAGATAATTCTTAAATAGTTAAAAACTTCGTCTTTGAACACTGTACATGACAGCCTTTGGACTTCTGCGCCAGCCTTCGTCAGGTGAGAACGTCTTTCTCTCTCTCGCCTGAGTATCGGTGACAAATTTCCCCCGTTCTCTCTAGGACGCTTGTCCTCATCTATTTTGCCCGCCAGGCACTCTACAGGAGGGGCACCTGTTCATCAGCTTACTGTTAGCCAGCTCCATTTTTCCGCTCTGCGGAAACCTCTTTATCGGTCTTTGGTGGGAAGCCGGTTGCTAAACTCAGGTGGGAGTATGGGCATCCCGCTCTGCTGGGATTTGGCAAGGGAGTCCACCGGATCTAATTGGAAACTTAGTTTCTATCTCTATTTCCAAAGGAACTTTTGTTCCTTCTCTCTCATCGCCCAGCCTTGTGCAACAAATCTTCCTCGTACCATCGAGAAGTCGGGCTCGATACGGCTTATGCTGTCAGTGGCCCTGATAAACCCAACAAAGAAAGAAAGACAGCCTTCATCCACCTGCCCAATACAGCATGCAAGACATTTACACATTCTATTTACACACACAGGCATTGACTGGCTACATTTTCATGACATTTGTGTACACTTGTGGTGGTGACAAGAGCTGCATGCAGCCACAAGAGCCACTGCTACAATTAAACATGTGAACAAGTGCCAAGACGGTCATTAGGCTTATTATTACTTGTCAAGATTTCTAGTTTGAAAAATCATTGTACCAATAACAAATCTCTCTTATTAAAGGTGTATTTTAAACAGTACATCTCCAACCAGGTTGAGGAGTTGAAGCACTGCTGCATACTGACCCGTCTTCGCACCCACCACACCCTAATGAACAAAAGATTGTACATACCAGGAAGCACAATTTGGGCCAGTTATGTATAAAATACCTATATGTATAAATTGAATATGGTTCTGATAAGTCTTTCTGAATTAGCCTCATTATGGCCGACATTTGTAATTCATTTTCATAATTCACATAGTCTACCTTCAGATCATTGTCTACGGTTGACAGAACGGGACTTATGCAAATTTCCGGAGTTATTAAACTTTCACTAGTCGAGCTAAGGTCATTGTCACTCTTAGGCTGCGTTCCCTGTGAACTGTTAGACGCATTTCTTGTCCTTGGACGAGCACCCGAAAACGAATGAGAGGAATCTGACGACTTTTCCGAATTTATGGAGAACGTGTCCGAAATAGAGATACTATTGCTACTGGTGGCCTCGGACACTGAATGTCCATTGCACACTGCTCCATTGAAGTCCGCCTTGGCGACGGACTCCTGACTAGACTGTGAACACTGCTCGTGTGACTGGGCCAGGGCTGGTTCATGTGCCCGGGCCAGTGCTGGTTCGTGTGCCCGGGCCAGTGCTGGTTCATACGCCCGGGCCAGTGCCGGCTCATGTGCCCTGGCTAGGATTGGCTCATGTGCCCGGGCCAGTGCTGGGTCGTGAGACCGGGCCACCGCCGGGTCGTGAGACCAGGCCACTGCCGGGTCATGAGACCGGGCCACTGCCGGGTCATGAGACCGGGCCACCGCCGGGTCATGAGACCGGGCCACTGCCGGGTCATGAGATCGGGCCAACGCTGGGTCGTGAGACCGGGCCATGGCCGGGTCGTGTGCCCGGGCTAGGGCCGGGTCGTGTGCCCGGGCCAGTGCCGGCACATGGACCTCAGCATCAGTAGTGCCAATCTTCATACCATTGATAACACCCATCTTGAAGGTGAGTTTATCTCTGAGCTCTGAGGCTAAACTTGACCCATGGCCGCCCACCTCACCCCTCTTATCCGACCCATGGGCGCCCTCCGCCCCCGGGCGCTGCTCCACACCGTGGGCGTGAGAGCTCCTAGCCCTGGCAGTGTGTAGAGGGTCCATGGCGTGGGCGTGGGTGGTCCTGGACCTGGCAGTGTGGACCGGGGCCAGGTCAGCTGTGTGACCCACCAACGAGGGAATGTCTTCCACCAGTACCCTCCTGAGGTGCGCCTCACTCATGGTACTCTCAGCCTGCTGAGTGACACATCACACACGGGGAGAGAGCCACACTGCCCCTACACCCACACACACAACACCAGCCATCATAACAACACTCAACACTACTAATGTTTGCATCACCAACACCAGTCTTGCTCCTCCTCAACACTGATCATGGCACCCTCTTCCAATACTCCACCATTTTAACACAACCACAACATATTATACAAGACGTTTTCAGTTTAATGGAGAAATTATAGAGTTATAATTTTAGTGTGCATGATATTATTAGGAAATAATAATAATGAGGAGGGTGTGGATGATATTATAAAGACTTATTGATCATGTTAAAAGTTAGGGAAGTAGAGGTGCATGTTCAACATGACGTCATGAAGCGCCATGTTCAAACATATCTCACTGTTTTAATACTAATATCCCTCTGTCTCCAAGTTATTTATATCTTATGCATGACTTTACTATATAACACACCTCACCATATGTATATATATGCCAAAATAGCTATCTGATAAAGGGAAATTATATTAAAAAAGACAATATTAAAAAAGAACTCCATTGGAAATGTGTCACTGACTTTTTTGGGTTACCCAAGGCCAAGGATTTATTTATTTATTTATTTATTTAGAAATTTTAGCATACATACAGAGGTACAAAAAAAATACAGGTAAGAGCAGCATGCCAAAGCCACTTATATGCATAGCATTACGGGCTGGCTTAAAATTAACTTAAGATTAACTAAGCAATGATGAAATCAGTGATAAGACATTATTGTAAACAGATAACAATAAAGCACAATGAGTATTACAAAGACAGGTCATATGGTTGCTTGCATTGCTGTTCATTCAGTAGAATGGAGTATTCTGTTAGGTAGTGTATTTAAAAAAATAACAAAGTTAGATTGGGTCCTAGGTTTAACATTTATGTGATATAATTGTGAGTAACATTTGGGATATACAATTTATAAGGTTCAGTTATTCAGTCTTTGTTTGGTTTTGAGTGAGTAAGTGAACTTTGAGAAGAGACTTGAATTTGTAAACAGGTAGTGTTTCTTTTATATTTACAGGTAATGAATTCCAGATTTTAGGGCCTTTTATGTGCATTGAGTTTTTGCATAGCGTGAGATGGACACGAGGAACATCAAAGAGTGATCTGTGCCTTGTGTTATGGTCATGTGTTCTGTTGAGGTTGGCAAGAACTTCTGGCAGTTTGGGAGACACACAGATGATGATCAAACTAAATGTAAATTATGTGATCAGGCATATGGTCACTCTCTTGAACACTATGTGCTTAATTGTCCACTTATTGAGGAATACAGAGACAGACAGTATAATAACCTATGTGACATGTCAAGATATCTTATTAATGAAAATAAGATACCAGATATACTAAGCAAATTTCCTAAATTTGCTTGTAACAGATAAGTGAACTATAGATAAGTAGATATAAATCCATATGTATTCCTGTTAACCCTTTGGGGCCTAGTTCCTAGGCCTTTTGTGTATCCATATGTTCTCGCGCTACCGTCCACAGGATGGATATGGGGTGCACAATAAACTAGCCACTTCGGTGACAAAATCTAAAAAAAATCTGGCAAGAAGATGTTTGAGGGGAGGGTTAATATCAGAGTTAAGTGTTCTATGTATGTAATAGGTGCAATAATAAGTATGGATGTTTTGTATGGTGAGTAGGTTGAGTGTTTTGAATATTGGTGGAGTGTGCTGTCTGTAGTGAGAATTTGTTATTCTAACTGCAGCCTTTTGTTGGGTAATTAGTGGTCTGAGATGGTTAATTGTTGTTGAGCCCCATGCACAAATTCCATAGGTGAGATAGGGGTAAATAAGAGAGTGATAAAGGGCCAGGAGGGCTGACTGTGGAACATAGTACCGTATCTTCGATAGTATGCCTACAGTCTTGGAAATTTTCTTAGAAATTTGTTGTACATGTGTATGAAATTTGAGTCTATTATCAAGGTGGATTCCTAAGAATTTTCCCTCTGTTAGCTTTGTGATAGGTTACACCAATACATAAAGGTGGTGACCCTACAGACTTAAACAACTATAGGCCAATATCTAACTTACCATTGCTATCCAAAATCTTTGAGAAACTCGTGCACAGGAGACTGTATTCATTTATAACGGCTCAAAACATACTCAACCCCTGCCAGTTTGGATTCAGGAAAAATAAAAGCACTAATGATGCAATCATAAAAATGCTAGATCTGCTTTACACAGCATTGGAAAATAAGGAATATCCACTAGGAATTTTTATTGACCTAAGAAAAGCTTTTGACACAGTAAACCACGAAATCCTACTCCACAAACTTGATCACTACGGTATAAGAGGCCACGCCGCTTGCTTATTTCAAATCTTACATTACTAATGGGTATCAGTACGTCACCATTAAAGACACAGCATCAGCAACACGGCCACTTGATACTGGAGTTCCGCAGGGAAGTGTCCTTGGTCCCCTGCTCTCCTCATATACATAAATTTGACCTTCCAAACGTATCCCAACACCTGAAACCCATTCTCTTTGCTGATGACACGACTTATGTCATCTCTCACCCTAATCTTGCCACCCTCAACACCATTGTGAATGAGGAGCTGATTAAAATATCGACTTGGATGACAGCCAATAAACTTACGCTTAACACTGACAAAACATACTGTATTATGTTTGGTAGCAGAGCAGGAGATGCACAAATTAACATTAAGATTGACAACACTCTAATTACCAGAAATAATGGGGGAAAATTCCTGGGCTTATACCTTGACAACAACCTGAATTTCAGCACCCATATCCAGCATATAGCCAAAAAAGTATCCAAAACGGTTGGGATCCTCTCCAAGATACGATACTACGTGCCGCAAAATGCCCTTCTCACACTATACCACTCACTTATTTATCCATACCTCACCTATGTTATTTGTGTTTGGGGATCAACTGCAGCAACACACCTAAAGCCAATAATAACCCAACAAAAAGCTGCAGTAAGAATAATCACTAAATCCCATCCCTGGCAACACACCCCTCCACTCTTCATAGATCTAAACTTACTCCCAGTTCAGTACATCCACACTTACTACTGTGCACTCTATATCTACAGGGCCTTAAACTCTAATATCAACCTTGACCTAAAATGCTTTCTTGATAGTTGTGACAGAACCCACAGGCATAACACCAGACACAAACATCTCTACGACATTCCCCGTGTCCGACTAAACCTTTACAAAAATTCAATGTATGTCAAAGGCCCTAAAATCTGGAATACCTTACCTGAGAACTCTAGAACTGCAGACACATTCATCACCTTCAAAACTACCATTAGAAAACATCTTATCTCCCTGATACACCCCGTCAACTAACTACTCGAATACCACCTGGTGGTTCACACTTACACTCGCTCACTCATTTGACCATAAACAGAAATATTAATCTCAGTCTTAAAATAATGAATCCTGTGATACTCCAATACTGAAACTATGTACTGTGCCAAAACAAAAGCATTCACATTGCTAAACTCACAAACTAGTATTTAGTCACTTAGCCATAATACCAACTTACCTCATAATTTGTAATATTTTACAATTAAGAATAAAACTAAGTATGCCCGAAATGCCTAGCCATGCTAAGCATTCTAGTGGTACACTCTGTAATCACAATTTTACTACATGTAAACCAAACAATAACCAAATTTCTGTAAACTGAGCATTGTAATCCTTATAGAGAATAAACTTTGAATTGAACTGAATTGAATTGAATTATGTTAAGAGGTACATCTGTAGCTCTGTTACCAAACTGAATGAAGTAGGTTTTGTCAATGTTTAGTGTAAGTTTGTTAGTCCTTCCTCCTTCTGTATTTAGCTCCTTGATTGCTGGAGATGTGATCAAGATTGACAGTTGTTAGTCTTGGGAAGTGATCAGATAGAAGATCATCAACTATGACAGAGTCATGCATCGTATATGATGTATTAAATCCAAGACACAGATCTAGTATGCCACCATATATGTGAGTAGGCTCAGTCGTGCCCACAATTCGAACATTATCATGCTCATTTACCAATGGAACTAAACTAGTGAGATTCTGAATGGCATGATAATTTTTCAAATTTGTGGGCATACTGACCCCTACTAACATATTTGGTGGCTTTCTAGATCTGTGTCTGGATTTAAAAATTTCAAAATACGATCCCAGACTCTGCCCAAAATTTGATGTTTTTTATCTATCATTTCCCCAAAGGGCAAAACAACGTCAATCTTGATACATCCCCAGCAATCAAGGAGCTAAATAAAAGAAGGGGGAAACTTATTCTCAAACCAAAAACCAGAGGAAACTTTATTAACCACTTGGATCAAGGGAAAAGGGAATTTAGACCCCACTGGCACACAAAAATTTAATGATGTTTTAAATTTCCCCAACTATTGAGGGGTTTCTCAAGATCAAGGGGGCGGGAAATGGGAAAAAAAGACCCCCCAACCTATAAATAACAAAAAAAACCAAAAGAAATTTTACTATAATGTTTCCACAGCTGCGCAATCAAAAACACAGGGCGCTCGGGGGGATTGGAAAAGGGCATACCGTAATGTAGAACCCCGACCTGCTCAGAACGTTCCAAGCTGCACTAAAAATGAAAGGGAAATTTAAAAAAGGGCAAGAACTTAGGAAAACGGAAAATGGGAACAGTTTTTTAGTGGTTTAAAAATAGGCCCAAAACCCCTTTGGGTTTGGTTTGGGGAAAGGTATAAATAAAAAACCAGGAAAAATACGGGCAATGTTGTTTCATCCCTTTCCCTTAAAAAAAGAAAATGCCCCTTTTTAAAAATGACTGGTCCAAAACATCCGGCATAAAAGCCTTCCATTTCATATTAGAAAAATTTAGAGAGTACTTTGAAAAAATTGTTAAAACGATTTTTTTTAAATGACCCAAAAAAATATTAAAGAGGGGTGATTGCCTCTTTATCAAAGTATGAATTAGTTTAATGCAAAAAACCCAAAAGGTCATCAACTGTCCTGGGAGGATGGAAAACCCTATGTATTCTCAGAACTCAAAGGGGCACGTGCCTGAAAACCCTTTTTGGGCCCACTGTATAATCCCAGTTACATTGAGGGCGTTTTTCCCCTACTTCCTGGCCCAATAGTCTCATTGTCCCTCCCCCTAACCCCCAAACCAGCCTGATACATTTGGCCGA